CACACACACACACACACACACACACACCTGTGTGGGTCATCTTGATGTGAGCTACTACTCTACTGTATTCCATAGAGGTCTTGAAGCCATTTTTATGGGGGAAAAAAAAAATATATATATATATATATATAGAGAGAGAGAGAGAGAGAGAGAGAGAGAGAAGTAATGAAATAATAATAATAAATAATAAAAGTCAGGGCTATTCTATACTTGATCTTAGCCAAAAGGCTAAGAAGTAATGGGCTATTTGTTCTAAACAATCTAGGTAGAATAGATTGTCACCAAAGAGAAAAATGAATTTGGTTCTGAGTTTTATGGTGAACATTGAAGAGAATCATTCTCATTGTTAAAGGGGAATAAACAACCCATTCCTCAGGGAGAGCAAGCCTTTTCCTAGTACTTTCACATGTAGAGCTTCACTGTGTATGGGGCTCTAAATCTTGAAATAATCTTGAAACAAGTTGCTTTAAACACAGTCTGTATTCTCTGCTTCTTGATTTCTGTGCAAAGTAGAGTACAGTCAAGCATCACTTAATGACAGAAGTACATTTGGAGATATGTGTCATTGTGGGAACATCGTAGAGTATATTACACAAACCTAGATCATACAGCCTGCTGTATACCTAGGCTGTAAGGTATAGCTTACTGCTTCTAGGCTACAAACCTCTACAGGATGTTGCCGTACTGAATCCTGTAGACAATAGCAAGTGTTTGTATCTACACATAGAAAAGATATAGTAACAGTACAGTATAAAAGGTAAAAAATGGTACACCTGAATAGGACACTTTCCGTGAGTGGAGTTTGTAGGACTGGAAGTTGCTCTGGGTGAGTGAGTAAGTGACGAGGGAGTGTAAAGGACTAGGACATTACTGTACACTACTGTAGACTTTTATAAACACTGTACACTTAGGCTACGCTAAATTTATTTTAATAATTTTTTTCTTAAAAGATTAAGCTTAACTTACTATATCTTTTTGAGTCTTGTAATAACATTAGCTTAAGACAGAAACACATTGTAAAGCTATACAAAAAATTCTTTGTCCTTTTTCTCTGAGCTTTATTCTATTTTTAAAATTTGAGGTTTTTTTGTTTTTCTTTGTTTTTTTGTTTTTTTGTTTTTTTGTTTTTTTTTTTTACTTTTTAAGCTTTTCTTGTTGCAAACTAAGACACACACCCACGTTAGCCTAGGCCTACATAGAGTTAGCATTATCAATCTCACTGTCTTCTACCTCCATATCTTGTTCTACCGGAAGGTGTTCAGGGGCAGTAACATTCATGGAGCTATCATCTCTGATAACAATGCCTTCTTCTCCCAGGTGTGTTGGCTCACACTTGTAGTCCCAGCACTTTGAAAAGCTGAGGCAGGAGGATTGCTTGAGGCCAGGTGTTTGAGACCAACCTGGGCAACATAGTAAGACCCCATCTCTTTAAAAAAAAAAAAAATTAGCCAGGCGTGGTGGTGCACGCCTGTAGTCCTGGCTACTGTGGAGGCTAAGACAGGAGAATTGCTTGAGGCCGTAGTGAGCTGTGATTGCACCACTGCACTGGAGCCTGGGCAATGAAGCCAGGCCTTGTCTCCAAAAAAAATAAATAAATAAAAGGGCCCTCTTCTGGAATACTTCCTGAAGGATTTGCCTGAGGCTGTTTTACAGTTAAATTTTTTATATGTAAGTAAAGGAAGTACACTGTAAAATAACAAAGTAGAGTATAGTAAAAAATATAAACCAATAACATAATTATTTTCACTGTCAAATATGTGCTATACATAACTTTATGTGCTTGACTTTTATATGCGTGGTAGTGCAATAGGCTTATTTCATCACCACAAACACTTGAGTAATGTGTTGCAGTATGATGTTAGGATGGCTATGACGGCCTATTGACTAAGCAATAGGAATTTTTGAGCTCCATTATACTCTTATGGGACCACCTATGTATATGGTGTCCATTGTTGACCCAAACATCGTGCAGCGCATTATTATACTTGGTCATTTGGTATGTTCGTTGTTAAGATTTCCAGATTCCAGATAAAATTAACTTCTAACACGAGCATTTTCTCTTTAATACTTACATAGATCTCAGCCAGCCTTTATGCAAAGCAGTCTATCCCAGCCATCTGTGGTCCTTTCTGGTACTGCCATCCACAACTTTCCAGCTGTCCAACACCAGGAACTTGCCAAGGCACAATCCAGTCTTGCCTTTCAACAAACTTCAAATACTCAGCCTATTCCTATATTGTATGAGCATCAGCTTGGGCAGGCATCAGGACTAGGAGGTTCCCAACTGATTGATACACATCTTCTCCAGGTAAGGCGGGGGCTGCAACAATGTATTTCTGTGCAGCAGATTATTTTAAGGAAACTGTTTTTTAAAGAAAATATGTTAAAAGACACAATGAAAAAAAAAAGGCTTTCCTTTTTATCTAATGCTAAAATTATTAGATTGTTTTGAAGTTATAACCTCCATCTCTGAGAAATTTTTTCAATCTTATTGCTGTTTTTTTTCACAAAATTTTTTCTAGGCTAGAGCAAATCTTACCCAGGCTTCAAATCTTTATTCTGGACAAGTACAACAGCCTGGTCAGACAAATTTTTATAATACTGCCCAGTCACCAAGTGCTCTCCAGCAGGTAAACTATGGCATGGTAAATTTCCTCACTTTTCTTTATTATTATTTTTATTGCTTTTGTTATTGTCTGGAAATTTAAATAGAACCGAGTTGGAAAGATGGAAGAGTGGTTTTCAAACTGTTCACTGAGGTATCCTGGGTAATTCCGTTGAGTCCACTGAAAGTGCAAGGGCCTTCAGTCTGACAACACCCCTCCCCTCACCACCACCTCTACTTTAATCAGTTCTTTTTTCTTCCGTTAACCTTTTCTGCTATTTTTTTTTAAACTGGGTTTCCATGTAATAATTTATTCTTTTTAAACAAGGGAGTCAATCAATCTAAAAGTTTGAAAACCATTGTCCACAATATACAGTTACATGTGTGTGTGATAGGTGGTTTACTCGTTAGTGCTAAAGGTAAAGGAAAACTCTCTAAAGACCACCAGACAGGCTGATACAATGCATGGGATGGTGTGGCAGAGTATGACAGTATAAATGACAAACACCTTAAGTGTATGAATGCAATAATAATTTTCAGTGAAAAATGTATGGTTTTTAAAAAGCTGTCTCCTCTAGTAATATCATTAATCAGCTTATTCTTTAAAAGTGGTGGAGGGCTGGGGGGCGGGTAGCAAGTCATTAGTCATTTTCTCAACTGTTTTAGGTTATTTTAGGGAGTGATAATTCAAAAATATATTATTGACATTCAGATTAAATATAGTATTTATATGAAAATGGAATGTTCTTTTTTGTCCTCTGATAGCTCATTTTAACTAGACCTAAAACCACTATAAAAATATCTATTTGGAGGCCGGGCGCGGTGGCTCACGCCTGTAATCCTAGCTCTCTGGGAGGCCGAGGTGGGTGGATTGTTTGAGCTCAGGAGTTCGAAACCAGCCTGAGCAAGAGCGAGACCATCTCTACTAAAAATAGAAAGAAATTAATCGGACAACTAAAAATATAATTAGCCGGGCATGGTGGCGCATGCCTGTAGTCCCAGCTACTTGGGAGGCTGAGGCAGAAGGATCGCTTGAGCCCAGGAGTCTGAGGTTGCTGTGAGCGAGGCTGACGCCATGGCACTCTAGCCCGGGCAACACAGTGAGACTCTGTCTCAAAAAAATATCTATTGGGGAACTCGTGACTGCTTTCCTAAATTGTGCCCCCATGTATTTTGTGATAATTTGACGTGTCCCATAGATAAGTTCAAAGATAGTCATAATTATTTTGGTTGTACAGTTCCTTCACTACAAGTAACATTAACTATTTTGTTGTTGCACCTATAATAAATGAATGGAGATACAGGTTGAGAATCCCCCATCTGAAATGCTTGGGACTAGAAGTGTTTTCAGACGCTTTATATGTATACACACACACACACACACATATAATGAGATATCTTGGAGATAGGGTGCACATCTAAACACGAAATTTGTTTCATGTACACCTTATACACATAATCTGAAGGTAATTTTACATATTACTTTTAATAATCTTGTCCATGAAACAAAGCTTTGACTGCACTTTGACTGTGACCTGTCACATGAGGTCAGCTGTGAAATTTTCCACTTGTGGTGTCGTGTTGCCCTCAAAAAGTTTCAGATTTTGGATTTTCACATTAGTGGTACTCACCTTGTAATCGCCAAGCAAAAGATTTGTGTGCAAAATATATTTGTAGATTGATGTATTCTATTTAAACTCAAAAGTATTTGAAGAGTTGTATATAGTTATAGGCATGTCTATGCAATGGGTGTAAGCAGATCGCTGCAGTTTCTATTTGCTTGTTTTCTAGGTTACTGTACCTTTACCGGCATCCCAGCTTTCCTTGCCTAATTTTGGATCTACAGGGCAACCTCTCATTGCTTTACCTCAGACTCTTCAGCCCCCACTGCAGCACACCACCCCGCAAGCACAGGCTCAGAGCCTGAGCCGGCCTGCGCAAGTCAGCCAGCCTTTCAGAGGATTAATCCCTGCCGGGACGCAGCACAGCATGATTGCAACCGCAGGAAAAGTAAGTACAAAGACAGTCGCACAGCTTATTTGAAAATTTAAGTCCTTATGCTCAGATGTATGCTTCTGTGTCTTCTGTAAAAATAAATGCGTCAGTTTTTACCACTCTCCAGAAAATCTCAAACTCCAATATACTTATGTTTTATCTATTTGCTACTAATGTGTTTGGCTCCATCTAGTTTTTACCCAATAGCAAAGAATTCACATATTTTGGGGAAGAATTGGATTTACAAAGTCCCTGAGATTTGTTTAATTAAAAGTTTATATGGACTGATAATTCCATAATATTTGAAGCCTGACTGGGATTTTTGTAACTAAGATTCTTGGCCCTTTCCTAGATTTCGCCTTCATAGGTAGGACATTAAACACAGCACTTAGTTTATGGAATTGAAGAAATGTTAAGTTTATTTTATGCTTTTTCTCAGATGTCTGAAATGGAGCTAAAAGCCTTCGGAAGTGGCATTGACATAAAACCAGGCACACCTCCAATCGGCGGGAGAAGCACCACACCAACATCTAGTCCCTTCCGGTAAAATAGCCACTTAACTTTGCTTGTGAAATTTTAAAGTAATTGATCACTGTTTGTTTGTTAAACACATAATATGTTATTAGTCCTGTGTTAAGCACAAAAGGAGCTATAAGACATTTGAAAATTTTAAGGATTTGAATTATTAAGAATATATTTGTTATACAATATTTTAAGTAAATTCTTTAAATACAGGGCAAATCTAGCTAGTATCCTTTCTCACCTCTGCCTGTCCAATGTCTCTCTCCTACCACAATGTTCGGTAACTCATCACAGTAAATTTTCATCTACTACCAAGTATGATGAAAATACCAAAAACACTCTCTGCAAAAACCTAACAGCGTTATTGACTTGGTATTACTGCACTGACCAGTGATGGCTTCTTTCCAAGGGCTACTTCCACGAGTCCGAACAGCCAGTCCAGCAAAATGAACAGCATTGTCTATCAGAAGCAGTTCCAGTCAGCCCCTGCCACTGTGAGAATGACACAGCCATTTCCTACACAGTTCGCACCCCAGGTGGGCAGATATAAGGGAGAAATAAGCGTTTACTTGGAAGTGATTGCTGATCTGGCTAAATTGTAATCTTGCCGTATGTTAACCAGACAAGAATTATAGTTTTTAATGAAAAACAGTTTCGGATTTTAACAGTAAATTATGATATTCAAATAGTCCCTACAATTTATAGCTAGACCCAGGCAGTAGCTGTTTAGTTCTAAAGCAGACAACAGCAATCGTCAAGATTCCCCACACAGCTCTCATAATTTATTTGAGTCCTTTTCTTCCCTTTTCTCTTTTTTGAAGAAGGTAACTTTTCAGCGAAGGGTCCCAGTGCTTGAAGTTTTCTAGGTTTAAAGTAGGGTTTTTTGGTTTTGTTTTTTAAAGGATATCCATGCGCAGCAAGGTAAAATTTCCACAGAGATGTTTTAATATATGTATAAGAATGTTGGCTTCCCTTCCCTTTGCTGATCATGTTGAAGGACTAACTGAAATTCGTAAGAACTCTCACAAACTAGAAGTGGTTCCTGAGAAGACTCATTTGTTGAATTAGTATTAATTTTATTTATCTTCAGATTATGTTTGTTATAGGTGTGTGCCTTTTCTGCAGTTGTGCTTTTTTTAAAGATAACCTAACTAATAGTCTTCCTATCCTACCTTGAGAATACAGCTGAGATGCTAAAACCAACTGAAGTGCCATAGCTTGCTTTGCCCTATTTTTTCTATTAAACTCTCCAAGCATGGCCTGGTCCATGCTTGTTCTTTGTCCCCGTTAATGGAATGGCACATCCATACACTTCCCTTTCACTGGCAGGATGGGCACAGATATACTCTGGGATAAGCCAACCTGGTCTAGTTGGCAGGATTTTTTTTTAACAGTTCGATGTTGTATGTTTTGTTTTTTTCACTCAGATTCTCTCTCAGCCTAACCTGGTCCCTCCATTGGTAAGAGCCCCACATACTAACACCTTCCCAGCGCCTGTTCAGAGGCCACCAATGGCACTGGCCAGTCAGATGCCTCCTCCGCTGACCACAGGCCTCATGAGCCATGCTCGTTTGCCACATGTAGCCAGGGGTCCTTGTGGATCACTATCTGGAGTCAGAGGTAATCAGGCCCAGGCTGCGTTGAAGGCTGAACAAGACATGAAGGTTAGTACAGCATTAACAGCCAACAGATCAAGAATCTGTCTCTGAACCATGTCTTAAAAATGCCTCTGGACCCATAACCATATATCCAGGCATTCACTGTCTTAGCAGACTTAACCGAGCTAACCACATTTATTCATTCCCTTTTTTTTCCCCCTCCCTATTCCCATCCCCTCATCTTTTTTTCTTTTTCTTTTTTTTTTTTCCCCTATTTTTGCAACTATAGTCAGGAAACAAATTAACGTTTTAAGCTCTGTGGCCAAATGAATTATTATAAAATAAATATTTGAGGGAGATCTGAGTTTAGATGGCACATTTTTTGGAATAGCAAAAAGTAATGTGGATTATTACAGCCTTCCCCATTTTCTTTCATTTTTTTTTTTCCTTTGATTTTCTCCCTCCCTCCCCCTTCCTTTTCCCTCCCCCAGCTTAAAATATAAATCATGGTTATGTGAAAACTCTGGAATGGGTAAGACATTACCTATCTTCATTTTTCTTCTGTCACAAGTCATCAAAGTACAGTTTTCTTCTCAAACTGTTTTCATACCCCTTTTTCGCCCGCCACTTGAAGTGGCTGAGTTTCACAGTGGGTTGTGCGGTTGGCAGTGAGAACTCAGAAAAGCACTTTGGGATCCTTCACGACGAAGGCACTGGTGGACGCGAGGCTCGCTGCTGCAGAGGAGTGCCTTTAGGAGTCTGTGTGGGGACAGTTTTGTAGCGCGAACCTTACCTGTCTGCCTGTACAGCCAGCTGAACCAGCTTATTTCTGTCGTTACTTTTTAGGCTGACTTTTCAGAGATCTTAGTGATTTTGCCTGTTTTGTCACTACATATATCATCAGATCAGACTAGAACAAAGAAAAGCCTACTGTTTTCAAACAGGGAAATGTGCGTGGTAATGCTTTACTCTGAATTAGAAACATGTTTACGATAATCCTATTAGAGAATTCAATTGACGGACTGAAGTTTCTTTCTGGATTGACATCCCTTGTGTTTCTAATCCTGAGTAATCAAATCAAAAAGACTACCCTACAGTAAAACTTTTGTTAAATATTATCTACTTTTATTAAGGCTGTGTGCCTAGGATTTCCGTCTGTTCATTACTATTAAAAATACTCATGAGTAAAATTTTATGGAAATTATTTGGCCTTGGTTTCCAGTTCTACTCCTGGCTCTTTGACACTTGATTGTCACACATTCCCATGTTGAAAATGACATTAGAGTTTAATGATCTTAATGGGGTGGGAGAGGGTACAAATTTCTGGAAAATTGCTTCAGATCTTTAGATAGTACAGATTACCTGTAGAACATGAACAATTTTTTATTATGTGCAAGAGGTATAGAAACTTAAGTTTTAATTATATATGTTGCAGTAGTAAAGTTAACAGATTGACGTAAGTATATTCTTTGGGACACATAGTCAATAAAACTAAGAAATTATTTTACCAGCTCAGAATGTGGTAGGAGCTATCAGAACTTAGTGATCAAGTGAAGTTGTAGTTACTAATTTCTGATGCTCTTCCCCTGCAGAAGAGAGCTGTGGGAAGAGGACTCAGCCACAAGACATTTGGTCCTAGGTGTTGGTAATGCCACAATATAAGTGCTTCCTTTTCATTTTATTGTAGTCCACATTGATAACTAGAAGTTTTAAGTGTTACATGTATGTTTTCAGATTTGCAAGCAGGCTCCCTAAATAAAATTTGATATCAATAAGCTTTGTTCCAGAAAAGATAAAGCAGCAGCAATTTATATTTTATTATTTTATAAGAGGGCAGACTTTGGAAAGGTGGTGGGAGGTGGCCCTTTTGTTTCAAATGCTTTTTAAAAAATCACATGGAATGTTTTCAAAAATAGGAATAAATCTGTGCATTAAAAGCTGAAAGATCGATGAGGTACTTTGGCTTAGGCCAAACCACTGTGGGGAAAACTGATTTGTGATTGGTAAAAGAATTTGAACTGAGGTTGATTTGACAGGCTTTGGTAATGCTGCGGCGTTTTCAGTTGTTGTTTCTCATTTTTTAAGGCAAAGCAGAGAGCAGAGGTTCTTCAGTCCACACAACGGTTCTTCTCTGAACAACAACAGAGCAAACAGATAGGAGGAAAAGCCCAGAAAGTGGACAGTGATTCAAGTAAACCTCCTGAAACACTGACTGACCCTCCTGGTGTCTGTCAGGAAAAAGTAGAAGAAAAGCCACCTCCTGCACCCTCCATAGCCACCAAACCTGTTAGAACTGGACCAATCAAACCTCAGGCGATCAAAACTGAAGAAACAAAATCTTAAAGGCCGTGGTTTATTGCAGGGGATTGGGGGGGTGGGGGTGGGGAACAGGGAGAATGAAGTCAGATATTGCCAGCAGCCAAAGGGGTTAAATGGTCTGTGACATTATCATGTCCAGAGTTTGGAAATGCACAAGGGACATAGGAGCAATTTACACTGACACACAGCTGCTGCACCAGTAAAAATGAGGCTTTGCAAGCTTGCACCTACTGTATGACATGCGCTCAGTTGATGGCCATGCATCTTCAGTCAGAACTTAGATATGTGCACTCATTTTTGAGTGCATATCATTCAGACCTAAAAATCCTTATGGTTAGATGAAACACCAGAAATACGAGGAAAATAACACCGCAGAGGAATAGCTCAGCCTGAACAATGTGGTGGTCCCAGCTAACACATCAGATGTGGTTTCTTTGCTCCTTATGGTCTTTGGATATGGTTGTGGCGTTTGTAGGCTTGGAGGTGAAGAACTGAAGATAACTGGTGCTGGATAGAGGAGCCTTATTTTTTATGATGGCAGCTTGCTATTTTTGTAACATGGTGATTGAGTTGAACACAATCAAAGTACAGTAGTAACTGATCTCCCCTTCTTCCTGGATGAGTGCGCAGATGATTAAATATTGGCGTCAGCATCCTTGAACCATATCCAAGTGAGCGATGTTTGGCTACTGCTTCTGTTTGAAATGACGCTGTGTTTTGGTTGTGGTCTGCGGCTTCGAAGCGCTGCTTGGCGTCTCCTTTTTCCCATGGAGCTCTCACCATTCAGACACGACAGATCTGGTAAAATACTAGTTAGGCTGAGTCTTGCTTGCCTGCACTCAGTCATCTTTGTATGAATCCAATGGTTCCTTCCCCCTCCCCTGGCTTTTTTTTTTTCTTTCTTTTTTTTTTTAAACGGTTTTTAGCTGATGCTCATGAAGAGCAGTGAATACCTAGAACTGTGCCGTGACTGAAAGGAAATCCTCAGAAGGTGCATTTCTTTACAGCTGTGTCGTACCATCCTTTGGGCCCTCTGCTGGACAAGTAGAATCAAGTCTCAAATAATGCCTTTTTAATTGTATCCTCTAGTGTTATAGATGTAGGACAGTACTGTATCATACCTCTGTGAATGTAAAATATCTCGTACCTGCTTTATGATATGTAGTAGTGACTGTGCTTTATCAGAGCTGTTTTTAATGATGTTACTCTAGAATGTTTTCTTTCCAGATGATGATTCAGAAGCTAATAAAAAAATGGTGCCAGGTACCACAACAGTAACAGAACTTTGCTGTTTTCTGAGGTTTTGTTTTTTTACCTCTCCCTCCCTCCCCTTTTTTTTATTAGAGTGTGCTGATATCTCTATAATATTGTTCAGATGACTGCAGAACCTGGAAAAGCTGTTGCTGCTATTGATGCACAAAATACTACTATTATTGGTCTTTATATACATATACATATGTAATTTTGAATTTTTGGAAACTTAGCTGTGTTGTCAACTTTGGAAAAAGTATCCCAGTTTACCGTGTGGAGTTGGCATTGTACAGAAATTAACAGCCATATTGGTCTAGAAACGTTAAACTTAATTTTTTTTCCATTTGTACAGGGGTAACGCACTGTATTAAATATGTAAGGTCTTATCTACATGGGTTTGATTACAGAAACTAATAAAGTATTCTCTAAATAATGAATCTTGAAGTTTCTGATCCATTCGTAAAATCTGAAGCAAAGTCTGTCATGTACTAAAAATAGTGATCGAGAGTACATTGTACAAGACATTATCATCCAAAGAGTTGATTTCTGACTTTTAAGAACTCTGAAGCTTATTCAACCAAAGTATTGTCGTGGAGGATAATAGTCATGGGCCCTGTTCTCAGGGTGGCCAAACTTTTAGTGAAAACAGTCTACCAAGGAGGAAGAGAGGTCTTCTTGATGATGTTGAATGCAGAAAAGAATTCCACCATTCTGGACAGAAATTAAAGGACCAAAAATAGATCTCAGCATTATTTACATTTGTCTTTTTCATGTTTTTGTTAGCACATTCATCGACATCATCACTTGCTGAAGAAGACTGTAGAGCATTTGTTCTATCATTTACTCAATTTGTAAAAGTGAAGTACTGAGGGATTGTAGTTACTTACCCTAAAATCCCATACGTGGAACACATGGCTTCCAGGCCCAGCTTTAGGAAAATTCGCCATTCAGTCACTAATGATACATGTGCCTTCCTTACTTGTGGATACTATGATTCTTTTTTTTTTTTTTTTTTT